TGTTGAAGTCCGACCCTGTTAGTTTATAGCATAACGTTAGCATGTTGCTTCTGGCGATTAGATTTATGCTTCGAAAATTATAAAAGTAGGGTAGACATGTGGATATTATCCGGCTGAACAAAACGTGCATTTATCAAATAGGTTCGTTTTCCACACACCTTATTTCGATCTATTTTCCAAAATCCTATGGAGAAATCCCATTGCTTTTTTGTCAAGGGAACCCATGCGCAGCTTACTTCCGGGTAAATACGTCATCCCTGCACCACTCTATGGCCGTTTCTCAATGTCGAGTAAACCTGCTGCAGAGCCACTATTTCAAGTATACTACGTCATCGAGTGGCGCCGAAGGACTGTTTAAATGCATGTTAAATGCCCAGCATTCAGCGCCACTCGATGACGTAGTATACTTGAAATAGTGGCTCTGCAGCAGGTATACTCGACATTGAGAAACGGCCTATATCCCGGGGATGCAACATGCAGAGCTGTCATTGGTTGAGATAAGTCCGGCCGTGCGTCACGCCTCTTTTAAACATCACTGTTGCCGGAAATACATCCGCGGAGGATACATCAGTGTATCCTCGGTTATAGCTCCTCCAGAGAGGCTTCTCGGTGCTCGATCCTCGATGTGCATTTAGAGAAATGGGATCTCCTTCAACATGGCGCGCTGAAATCTATTTCCGGGTCACTACCGGAGGAACGAGGATTCGAGGATTCGAGGAGTCGAGGAGTTGAGGAGTCGAGGAGTCGAGGAGTCGAGGAGTCGGAAATTAGATAAATGGGAAAGGTCCACAGAGACAGACAGACACACACACAAACACTGGACGTCTGCCACACACACACACACACACACACACACTCAGACCAATACATACCTTTTTCACAAGGAAATGGTTAGGAATGTTTCCACTTTTACAATTACTACTTATACTGCTACTACTACTACTCACTACTACAACAACTATAACTACAATTAATACTACTAATAAATACTACAACTAACCACTACTTGTACTTATACTACACCTGATATCTAACTCCTTCAGCCTACATTCAGCTATACAGAAACCATTTAATTATTCAATGATTCAGCTATTTCAGGTCATTGAGGCTATACAGTTTGTTGTTTATACCTTTTTTAAACTTTCTTTGAATATATATATATATATTAAGCTAAATCACAATTTGTCCTACTCTTCCAGTTTAACATTTCACCTTCAAGTTTTCAAAGTCAGTGCAATGCATTTGAGCTTTAACAATTTTGAATAAAATATTTTCACCTTTCTGCATTTTTCCGCTAAATTCAGCAACACTTGGTTTCTGCTGCAAAAAGCAGCTAATAAAAAAAACAGCTTTTTCTGCATTTTCAGCTGAGTTCAGCTTACAGCATTCGCACGCATTTTCCGCAGGAAATGCATTTTCTAGTTGTAATTCACCATTCTAGAACTTTAAATTAACATTTTAGAATTTGAATTCAAAATTCTAGAAATGTAATTTAACATTCTAGAATTTGAATTCAACATTCTAGAACTGTAATTTAACATTCTAGAATTGTGAATGAACATTCTGGAATTTTAATTCAAAATTCTAGAACTGTAATTTTACATTCTAGAATTTTATTTCAACATTCTAGAACTGTAAATGAACAATTTATATAATTTTTATTCCACATTCTAGAACTTATATTAGTATTCTATAATGGTAATCGAACATTCTAGAACTGTAACTTAACATCCTAGAATTGTAATTCAACATTTTAGAACTTTACATTTATTTAGCTAAAATGTGTAATTTTGTAACCTTTCTTGTTTGTTTGTGCTGCACCGCAGCTCAAAAACGATTGAAAAACACTGCCATAGCTGATTAAAACCTTTACTTTCTTAGTCCTCATCAACCTTTCCCAGCTGATAAAATCAAGTTTTCTAAAAGCTCATAAATAAACCTGATTCCTCCCCCTAGAGCCCAGATTGCAACACATCATGTAAATATTTGTTGCATTACATAAAGAGCATGCTTTCCATTCCTGGCATTTGGGAAGACCAGAAAAGACTAACGCCCAATTGTCTCTGCATGACCTAGATTCTCTATAGTGAAATGCTAAGAAGGCAGCGGGTCTATTGATAGAACTGGACTCGCTCAGGAAACTTGTTGAGAGAATGGATCAACTAGATTATATAGACATTTATATTTGCTGGAGCTTTAAATGGGATAACACTGAGGCCCTGCAGTGGGACTGTTGTTTACAATGAGCTGTGTCAATTGAATCTGGTATTGGTCCATTCCTGCAGCAATTTCAGCTATTTTAAAGGAAACCTATCATGCTATATTTAAATGATATATTGTAGGGCCATACCTATATAAGGTATATTTATACGTTTCTGTTTTCAAAATACCAAACAGATCATGCATTTTAGCCATGCCTCATTTCGCTCTATGTGCTGTTTGCTGTCTACGGGTCTGATTTTGCTGACCACGCCCCCCTGCAGGAGAGGGGAGACATGCTCTGATCAGCTGCTGGGCTGTCAGAAGAGGGGGAGAAAAAGAGATCTCCGTGTTTTATTATATAGAGTCGTTATTCATTTGTTTTAAAGCTCAATAAATAACAAAGAAGACCTTTGACCGGCACTTTTCTAATTTTGTCCGGAAGATTTAAACTTTAACGGACATCTTGATCGGCGAAACAAACTGAAACTGAAACTCTGCCGCACGGTCCCCTCGTTCCTTGGAAGAGGCGGAGAGGTGGGTGTTTGTCATCTGCTGGTGGACTAACCGGAGAGAATTACAGTGCTTGCCTCGACGGGGAGGGATTGCATTGCAGCGGGAGCAAACGCTTGCCTCGGGGAGGGAGAAAGAAAGCCACAGCGGAGAATAAACAGAAGGGTAACCATGGTAACCAAGTCTTCTTCGCTGCTTTTGTGGCAGACTACAGCGCCACTTACAGGCCTGGCATATGTACTACAGCGTCTCCAGCGCTTTCGAACGGCAATGGCCGTGGCTGTCTCCTCCTGATTGGTGGAGTTGGCCCAATAGCCGTAGTGCCACCGTCAGGACAGTGTTCAAATCTGGATCAGTTTTTATCAGATCCGTTGCAGCCCCTTTTTTAGAGATTTGGGTATGGAGGAAAATAGAGAGGGTTGTGTTTTCTGACACTTGGTGAGTTCCCTGGAACACCGGGGACACATATTCATGTATAAAAGACGTACAAAAGTGCATTTGCATGATAGGTCCCCTTTAAAGTCAGAGAGGTCCAAATGAACCAATAAATAGTGTGATCAAGCTGCTTCGATCATTATATGAAGTTACTTTGCCCTTTTTTATGTTTAAGGCATCAAGTTCATTCAAGTGGAAATGAAAATCATATCAGAAAACATTCAAGCTATAGAACTAATGTCAATTCAAATGAATAAACAAAGAGTGAAAAACATCCATTCAAATGTAATAAAGCCCAAGCAACTGCATGCTTTGTTTGACTGACCATAAAAAACCCTAAAAAGATATTACATTTATTATCACAAGGAAAGAAGGCAAAGGAAAGCAGCAATTTAAAGGCTTGAATTGAGGAATGATGTTAAAGGTCCCCTATTATACTGTTTTTCATCAATATATTATAGTTCTCAGATATATACAAAACATGTATCTGAAGAGTTTGGCTGAAATACCAAACAGATCATGCATTGTAGCATCCCATAAACCCCTCTGTTTCAGCCCTGTTTCAAAAGTGCTGATTCTCTGTCTGTTACTTTAGATGAAAATAAGGAGCCACTCCCAACGCCCCTCTGAGAGATATTTGGTTACAAATAACACAATGGTGCTCTGGGAGGAGATTCAGGTGATAAGGGGGGGGGGGGGCAATTTTTTTTGGCTTTTTTCCTGAAACTTTCAGAATCTCTTTACACAGAGGGGCACATGTTTATGTATAAAATAAATGAAAAAGTGGATTTTGCCTAATAAGTGACCTTTAAGATCAATGAAACGTTTTCTGTCAAACTTCATATCTACATAATCCTTTTATGAAGCCCAAGAGAGCATTTGTTATCCCCTTAACTTTGGTAAACCTTAGCATCACATCATTTGGAATGACTGGCAGGTTGAGAAACTTTTATTGGGTATGTTTTGATTTCTTCCAGTATGTTTTCTTTTAGTTTGTGAGTCATTCTTGATTTTTTCCTACTGTCTGGCTTCATTTTTTTTCATCAAGTAAAATCACCAACAAAGGTTGAACATCATAACACCAACATATCAAGCCACAGTACTTAAAAGTCAGTCCATATTTTTACTGATTTGATATTAATCACTTAACCTGCAGAACCATGCAGGAATAGTGCATTATCTACTGAGTAGATTATTAGACTGAAGCACATTCCTTTTCATTTTTCAGTCAGTCATCCAGAAGTCAAGGCAGGGTTATTGGATAACAGGTTGCATCTTCTATAACATTGACTTTTCAAAAAAATACACATTGTTTTAAATGTTCTCTAAAATTACTTAAATTACTAATTAAAGTAATTCAAATAAACCCCACCTTTACCAAGTACAACATTGCAATTATGAACACATTAAAGCAATAATTATAATAAAGTAATCTAAAATATATGGTGCGTAAATGGGCCATTCTGCATAACAAGTACTTTTACTTTAGGTTCATAAAGTACACTTTAATATTGTTGTACTTTTACATTTTTTAATGCATGACTTTAACTTGCAACTGAGTTATTTTACACTGTAGTATTGAGTACTTCTTCCACCTCTGCATGTTGGTCAATTTCTTTGTTAAAAAAAAGCTGTTATTAAGAACAACCACCCCAAATGTTCTGGTTTACACACACAGATAAAATAAATGATCGATTGATTTAGTTTATAAAAAATGTAAGGATACTCAGCACTAATTTTAAATGTCTCTAATGTGTGTTGTTTCTTGATAACAAGGGGCTGTACCTCTGCTGCCAGCCGTTCATGTATAAAGCACTGTAAGCAACCGTGACGTCACCAGAAACAGCTAGCTAGCCAGTTGTTTTGGGAGAAGAAGAAAAGTGTAACAAGCGGAAGAAACACCGGATTTGGTGTCGGGTAGTATTCAGTTTATGGTCCTGCGTTAGTTTTTTTTTTAAAGATACATTTTGAACAATGTCCACCCCGGCAAGGAGACGGCTTATGAGGGATTTTAAAAGGTACCGTAACGTTTTGGCAATCATATCTTCTGTTTGTGTGTGTAGCTAGCAGCGTTAGCCGATGAAGCTAGCCTTGTTAGCTTAGCTTTAGCTGCTGGTGCAAAGAAAACACTGTTTATAAATCTTTACAGGGAAATAAACGTGTTATTTATTTGTTTTATCTCTGCAGATAGCATGTGTAGGGTTGACAAAGGAATGCGTGTGTTTTTTCAATTAAACGTGTCGATGGCACGTAGGTTTTATGCAGTGTTTTCTTTCAAAGGAATTAGTCTTTACATGTTTCCCTGCCTTGTTTGTTTGTTAGTGTAGGTGCAACTTTGGTTAGCTTATGTGGCTGGAATATGGCTAACAAGGGATTAAAAAAACCCGTTGTCTTGCCTTAAATAGCCCTACATGTGACATAATTCATCTCTATTACACCGTGCAGTCTGCAGGCTGTGGGTTAAAAATGCTGCTGCTATAAAGGTAGCTAAGTTCAACCACCAAGACAGCATTATTTATGGGTTCAACCCCCCCTGGCAGCAACGTGGCTTACAGGTGTTGTTGGGAGTGTGTGTGGTGTCAGGGGCTGCTCCATGTTAATATTTAGGATGGCTTGATATGTGCCAGCCTTCTCACCTTGGTACATTTAATGTTGGAATATTTATCTCAATATTCCTTTTGTGTGTTTTGTTGAACTGTTGCTGTGAAGAAAGTGTCCTGGGAGAATAACACCTGGCATGAGTCTGCTTGTAATACCTGCCACCCCCAATCTGTTGCCTTGCTCCATATGGCATCCTACAGTACTATGTGTGTGTTTGTGTGTTATTCACACACCTGTCAGTGGAAAAAAGATCTTAAGCTGTTCTACTAAGAACAGCCGTTGAAGCAGGGCGGATAAGGTGTCCCTGTAACTCTACTCTGCTGCGCTGTGCCAGTCCCCAGGTGGTAAACTCTACAGCACAGAGGCAAGGAAAACACAATAGCACATTCCTGCATCCATCAAGGCTGGATGATTGAACTCTGCCTTGTGTGATATTGCCTAACATCCCTTGTTTGATCTGTAAGTCAAAATCTTGGCACAATGTGAAATGGCACTTTGTTGTTTAACAGCTGCTTTAAAAAAAACATACAGTGAAGAATCACTTTAATTTCCTATCCAAATGATTTTTCTCGAAGCACTTGACATTGTGAAACAAACAACAGCCACCTTACACTAACAATACATTGTGCTTCTTACTACTTCTTTTTAATCTTTTAGCGTCCCTGAGTATTTTATTGAAGATTCAGCTTTTGAGCTGCAACAATTGGTCTTCTTATCGATTAGTTCTTTCTCAGAAAAACAGAACTATTAAAAAAATAATTGTTGTTGTATTTTTTTTCATGCTAAGATGATAGAAAATAGCAGTTTCCAGCCCATTTCCTGCTTTTCTCTTGCTGACAAAGTGAGAGATTTAAGGACATCAACTTGGACTATTATAATTGGGTCCAAGTAATTTGTTGATTTAATCTACAGATCTGTACAATTTAGTTTCTGTTTACCATAGATGTGTTCAAAAGTTTCTTAGCGACAAGTCATGTAGCATGAAAAACACATACATCTTGCTATTACTTGCTTACCAATCTATTACTGAACTAATAGATTCATCCTTGTTTTTTTGAAAGTGAGCCATCACACACTGTCCACTGCTTCCCTTAATCTGCTGTCTGGAGACTGCTCAGTAATCCCCTGTTTCCTAAAGGAAGTAACTGTGTTAGTAGTGACTTCTTGTTTAGCATCCCTCCTGCAACAGACAGCTCAGGCAGATTACAGTAAATAAGGTTAATTGCAGTGGGTCTGTCTGCAGCTATGGACATGGACATGGATCTACATCCACACACAAATCAGCCTACCTTGTTTATAGATGTAAGCTCTTATTAAACCAGCTTTTATACAAGGATTATGATTGTAGATCTAAATGTCCTACACTTGGCTTTCCTGCATTGGTGATCTGTAGCAACATATTTAACTCGATAATAAACTCTGAGTGACATCAGACAGAGTAAATTCTAGTCTATTCTGAGCACTAGGGCTCATGTCTACTCTACACACTGCCTTTAGAAGAGATACACCGTTGTTTTACTGCCTTCACTGATCAATAGCTTAACGAACCAGAGAGGCTAATGTCGGAAACTTAAGTTCAGATGTGGACTTGCAACTTCCTTGTGTTTTTTTATTTTGTTGACGTCTTTGTTGCCAGGCAGTTGTTGCCAAGAGGTGTTTGCACCACACAGAGTTCACTTGTCAGTCAAATAGCTTAAGGCTTTTTTCTTTGTGGAGCTGCAGCTAATTGTTTTGTTTTTCTAATCTAATTAATCTTCACTCGGGCCTTAAAATTACAAAATATTTTGTAGCCTCAAGAAAAATACAAATGTCATGTTCCCAGGTTACCACACAATGAACCAAAATAATCCTCAAACCCAATATTAAACTTTTCTATAGCAAGAAAATTATATTTTGATCATCGTTTAAGATAACCATTTCTCTCATGCAAAAATATTAGCACGTTTGAAGTTGTTAGATGTCAGGATTTGCTGCACTTAGTGTTTTGGACTGTTGTTTGAACTAAATAAATAACTTGAAGAGTTTATCTTGGGCTCTTAACAGTTTTCTCTATTTTCTTAATAGACTCAATTATTTATGTATTTATCGAAAAATATAAAATAATATGAATAGTGATAAGCAGATTGCGTATCAATCAACAAACTATTTATTCACCACCTCTCCTTTTTTTAACATTATGTAAGCTTGCATTTCTTTTTTTAAATCTCTGTCCTTGCTCCTGCTTTTATTTATTCCAAACACACGGCGTTGCTGCTGCTGGGAATGTAAAACGCATCAGCTCCTCTGCAGCAGATTGTTTAAACAGACACAGAGCTTTATGAACTGGACTCCACATCAGTCATCAGTGTTTCATTAACATCAGCCTGCGATGGAGGGGAGCAAAACAAACATTAATTGATAGAAAAACATCAGGGTGCCCCTTATTATCTTCCATGGTCTGTTCATTCCACTGTTTGTGCAGAAAGTCTGATCATGACAATGTTACCCAGAGGGCATTTAATGTGGAGGTTACCTCAAAGCTCTCGGGGCTTTTAAGCTGGAGTCATGATACACTAGAGTTGTGCAGCTCTATTTATTGACCTTTCCAAAGCGTTTGACACCGTCGATCATCGCATCTTAAAGCAGAGGCTACTCAGTATTGGCTTATCCAGCCATGCTGTGGGGTGGTTTGTGAACTACCTCTCTGAAAGGTCCCAATGTGTTCACTTTGATGGGCTGTCTTCTGAGTGGTTGAACATTGCTAATGGTGTTCCTCAAGGTTCTGTTTTAGGTCCACTTTTATTCTCCATCTACATCAATAGTTTAGGTTAAAAAGGTGGATGAAGCTACTTTGCATTTTTATGCGGATGACACCGTGATGTACTGTGCAGGTCCCTCCATTAAGGAGGCGGTTGTTAAATTACAGGCTGTTTTTAATATTATTCAGACTCAGCTCTCTGAACTAAAGCTTCTTTTAAATGTTGAGAAAACCAAAGTAATGCTCTTTTCTAAAGCTAAAAAGACTCCAGAGACTGCTTTGGATATTGTGACTATGCAAGGACAAGTACTCGAAGTGGTTAGCTGTTATAAATACCTTGGTATCTGGCTTGATGATTGTCTTACTTTTAAACTTCAGGTCACTAATCTGCTTAAAAAGCTGAGGGTTAGACTAGGTTTCTTTTTCAGAAACAAGTCCTGTTTCTCTTTTGAAGCCAGGAAAAGACTAGTCACTGTGACCTTTTTACCTGTGCTAGACTATGGTGATTTGATCTATATGAATGCACCTGCCCATTGCCTGGAAAGGTTAGATGCCGCCTATCACAGTGCTCTGAGATTTGTTACTAACTGTAAAGTACTTACTCATCACTGTACCCTGTATGCCAAGGCAGGTCTGCCTTCACTTACTGGTCGGAGGCTCAGTCATTGGTACATATTCATATATAAAGCCATGCTGGGTAAACTACCGACTTATATATGCTCTTTGATCTCACAGAGAGTGGCAAGTAGCTATTGCCTGAGATCCCAGGATGTGTTTTTATTACATGTGCCAAGTGCTAGGACTGTTTTAGGTACTAAAGCTTTTATGTGCGCTGCTCCTCTAGCTTGGAACACCATGCAAAAAATATTGAAACTGAGCATTTTGATTCCCTTGCATCGTTTTAAAGCACGGCTGGATGAAATGTTATTGGATACCTGTAAATGTAAATAGGTTGCTAATGTATACCCCTGTAATTATGTTGTGATGTCCTTTTGTTTTCTGTTGTTTTTATGTGTAACTAATGTACCGCAGGTCTCCCTTGAAAAAGAGATCGTTGATCTCAATGGGATTTTTTAACCTGGTTAAATAAAGGCTACAAACAAACAAACAAACACTTTGGTTTCAGATGATATTAACTGACATGTGACGGCAGGATGGGCACAGTGCAGTTGATCCTGGCTGTCTCCAGAGGCCTGTACTACGAATCCAGTTCAACGTAACCTGGATATGTTTGAGTTACCCGGCTTACCTAACCCAAAACAAACACGCTCTCGCTAAGCGGTCCTACGACGCTGGTTATCAACTCGGTAACTCAAGCCAGGGTTTCTCTGTCCGGCTGAGTGCGCGTTCACATGAAAGGGGCGGGGTTAGCAACATTTGACCAATCACAAACATGAGAGAAGCGTACTGACAGCGCAGTGTCATACTTCCTGAATGAAAAGTGAACTATAATATTAGACAAATATGAAGAAGTTAAACTTTAAACATCCATGACTTAAACACTTTATCCAGGATAAAAGCCACATAGCTGCACCTGCAAGGTGAATACAGCTGGTAAAAGAAAAAGTGTTTGAATGCGTACATTAACAGGTTTATGATATCACTGCCCTGTCTAAGACACGAGTGGATCTGACTTTAATTACATTTGACTCGAGTGTTTCGTCAACTTAATGTGTTGCTTAAAATAATACTTCTGCATACAATATGTGACACTGTGAGTGTTGCACGGCCAGATACGGCTCAAGAAGCTGACTCGGATAAGGAAATTTATGATGTGATATGAATGATAATGGGCTTCGTAGTACAGGCCTCTGAACTCCTGTTGATACAGCAGGTCGTGTTTTGACTGAAAATGATTCTGAAGTCAAGGTGTTAATTAAAATCCTCACGCTCTCTCCATCCTAGATTTTCCACCTCCCTCCATTTCCCCCCCTGTCTGTTGTTTTCCCCTCTGTGCTTTAATCCTCTTATTATTCCCTATTTTTCTCACTCTTAAACCTCTGTTTGGCACATTTTATCTCCACATGTGTCTCTCTTTCTTTCTGCCTTTTACTTTTGTCTCTCTCTAATCATGTATCTTTCCCTGTGTCTTTTTCCATCTAACCCAGACTTCAAGAAGATCCTCCCACCGGTGTGAGCGGAGCACCATCAGAGAACAACATCATGCTTTGGAACGCAGTTATTTTTGGGTGAGTCATGCTGTAAATCCTGCTCCGCCCTGCTGTCTTTATTGTGCTGCTGTGATTTTGATGCACAGTCCCCAAACTCAACAGCAAGACACTGCCTTCTCCTGCTGGTACAATACCAATATTTCTGATTACAGCCCTGATTGTAGCGCAGAACAGTCTGGAAACACAGCATGTAGTGACTCAGAGGGAGTTAACAGGTTAACAAAGGGTATGACGAAGTATTCACCTTATAGCAACACTTTGACTCTTTTTCAGATTTGGGATATTTCTGGGGAAATAAAGTACTCAAATTAGATTGGATTTGGATTAATTATACTTTATTGATCCTAAATGTCTTATAAGTAGCAATACAAGATTGTAGAAATACAGTGTTACAAATAAAAGGATCAGGATTAGCATCAAAATGTACTTTCATTACAAGAAGTAAAGTAAGTACTCATTGTGCATTAGGATCCGTTTCAGAATAATGTTTATTATATTATTGGATTATAATTATTCATGTTCATAATTAATACATGAATTAATCACTTTAATTTTGCAGCTGTTAAATGAAGAGCTTATTTTAAATGCTATGTTTACTGCAGGGTAGCTTATTCATTTCACTGAGGGATCAATAAAGTGTTATCTTAACCTATAAAAACACATGAATAATGTTTTGTTTAGTGTGTTTTATTAATCTGAAGCTTCAAAATCATCAAATACATGCAGCAGAGTAGAAGTATTTAGTATATAAAATACTAAAGCAAAGTAAGACTACCTTAGTACAGAACTCAACTAAATATTCATGGTAACTGTCCATCATTGCTCAGTACAGAATTTGATGTGCAATTGAAAGGACTAAAATAAAAAGCAAGAAGGTGAGCACATGAGTCATATGAAACTCAATAAACCTCAAGAGCAGGAGCAAATCACCAAGCAATAACTGAAAGTAATTGAGAACTCGCAAGAGCAGGGGACTTGGATTTGAAAGGTAACTTGCTAATAGTTCCTCACCTGATTCAAAGTCAGCGTTGGGGGCAGCTGTTTTAATTTGCCCCCTTTACACAAGCCGTGTGAAAGTGAGGAGCTGAGTAAATAAAGGCTCTGGTGTCAGTGCAGAACAAATCCTTGAAGGATCCTACAGGCCTTATTGGAAGCATTGGAGATATTTTTAACTTTGCAATAATTGAATTTCTCTCTGTTTGGCTTCTGCAGGCCTGTGGGGACACCGTTTGAAGACGGTAAGTTCTCCATTTTGTTTCATTTTGGTCCATTTAGTGCAGGCTCTCATTTATCAGAAGCTCTGGATTTGATTTAACTTCCTCCTGCACTGGTATTATTGTGGAGGTGCATTCCTCAATCCATCTATTACAGCCTTTCTGCCAGTGTGTTGTTAAAGTGATGGTGAGTTACGCTGGGATATATTCCAAGAGCAATCGATCACAAAATGGCACTCTCAAAAACATCAGCACACCTCTAGATATTTTCAAAAGAAGTTCTTCAAAGGTTAAATAACAACCTTGGGGACATCCAAGGTAGTTATTAATGAAATAATCTGAAAGGGGTTTTAATTAAAGGCTTACTACAAGTTTGATAACACCATCAAATTAAAGCTACAGTTCTACTCTTTGACCTCATAATCTTTGAGTTAAAACGTGTCTCACAGCCTAAAAAACATCCAAGACAATATTTCCAAAATGTTTACACTTTCTTTACAGATTTCAAACACTATTGAAATAAGTCAAGACAGATTTCCTTATATTTACAATTATTAAACCTGACCTGTAAATGATGTTTTTATTTGTGTATAAATAGCTGTACCAGTTACATTGTTCAGTTGGTAAAGAACTTGCAGCTCTGCTATGTAAAACACAACACACACACTAATGATAAATGCGCATATACACACGCTTTTCCCCTCATACACACACTTTTCAGCCTGTAATTATGACTTAGGTCAGGCAAGAGAAGTGCTGACTCGTGCTTTATTGTTTCCTCCTGTGAGACTTCTCGCTCCTTTATTCCCCCTTTAACCTGCAGAGTCGACATCTCTGCCTCGGTGAGGGATTAGCTTCTCTTTGTAGTCGAGCCAGCTTTATTTTTAGTAACGTCATTTTGTTTATCTCTCCTTCTTTGACCACCTCGATCTGTATTCTCCTCAAAAAGCTACCAACAGACTCTCGCTCACACTGTTCTTGCTGTGTCTCTCACCATCCTCCTCCCCCCTCATCTCTCCCCCTCTGTCTCTCTGCAGGAACGTTTAAGCTGCTGATAGAGTTTTCAGAGGAGTACCCAAACAAGCCTCCCACAGTCCGGTTTGTCTCCAGAATGTTTCACCCTAATGGTAAGAGGTCACACACGCACAAACACACACTCTCTCTCACACACACACACACACACTCACACACACACTCTTTAACCATGGATTTGTAAATGGAAATACAGGCCATTGTTGTTAATACATTTTCCTTAACGTCAAACTTATTTGTTAGTGTTTTATTTGCCTTTTTGTTGCAGTTTTACCTGCTTAGTTTCTTGTGGTTTTACCTGTGTTATCTGTAAAGCATTTTGGATATAAAATAAACTGTATAAAAACATTTTCCCTGCCTTTTCTTGCCTATGAAATATTATTTTTAAATGTCCACAGTTTGTGCTCCCATTATCTCAAAGCTCAAGTTCCTCCTCACTGAAGCGGTTTCCTGCCATTCATCTCCTTCCCCCGTCCATTATTGAAATCCCTTTTAGTACGTTTAGTCAGTGAGGCTGACGGTAAACTCCAGTTTAAGTAGATATATTTATGCATGTTTGACAAATATTCACTTACAAGGAGTGTGCCTTGGTGTTTGATGCATACAATAGGCAATACACATATTAAGAGGATATACTATTATAGGCAAAGTACAGCACAAAACAAACTCAGCAAAAGTGTAAAGAGACCTTTCTTGGTGACATAATAACTGCTGTAGTGATGTGGATCTGTGTTTTCTCTCGTTTCCCAGTTTATGCAGATGGCAGTATATGTTTAGACATCCTTCAGAACCGCTGGAGCCCCACATACGATGTGTCGTCCATACTCACCTCCATCCAGGTTGGTTCTTTGGCTGCCAGTTTTTGTCTTTGCACTGAAATTGCTTCAGTACGCCATCTATGAATGCATTGGTATACGACATATTGTCTTAAAGTTACTTTTAAAAATAGACGTTATCAGATTACTGTTACATTTCCAAAAACATTGTGGATTACTAGCAGTATTACAATGTTAGTAAAAAACTAAAAAGAGGTTATTCTGTTTCATCAGATTTATTTCTGCTTATTTAAACTGTAGGATGTGCTCATGTGTTTCATTGTTGGTGTATAGGCTACTGCCTGAATATGCTTAATGAAAGGCAGGTTTTGCTATAAATAAACTTATTCTGATCCTAAATATCTTGGTTTCTTCTTTTCTAAGGTCAGATTGCTCTGTTGTCTTGCATAATACACGTTAAGTAGAAAACATCCTATTGATATATCTTCTCTTTTATATATTAGCATGGCATTATATATTGATCAGGTTACATTACTTTATATTTTGATACTCTGATTAGGTTACTGATTACATTATTTGCAGGTAACTAGTCATTTTAATGGAATACATTTTTTAAGAAACCCTCCCAACCCTGCAAAGGCTATGCGGGTATTTCCCTAACGTTCACTCTCTTTCTGCAGTCGTTGCTGGACGAGCCAAACCCCAACAGCCCGGCCAACAGTCAGGCCGCACAGCTCTATCAGGAAAACAAGAGGGAGTACGAGAAGAGGGTGACGGCCATCGTGGAGCAGAGCTGGGTGGACGTCTGAGCTGCTCCCTCCCCCCCACTACCATCTCTTCATCACCTCCTTCATTTTTACTTCATCAAGAGAAAACCGCAACTATATCAGAAGAACTCAAGTGCCACCCTTAAATAAATAATAGTAAAACAACATCCAGAGAACAACCAAACCAGAATGGACATAAACCTGCTTGCCAATACATTTTAGGAAAAACAAGGGCGGGGAAATCAATCTTACTTTTTTTTTATTGCATGATGTGAATTAAGTTATTGCTAACAGAATTTGTAATATATCTTTGTTTGGTTGGATTGATGCTGTTAGTGTTTGAGTTTTACAGATTGTTTTCCCCCTTATTTTTTATTTCCCTTTTTAGTGATGTCTGCTGGTGTGCACACAATTTGGCTTTTTGGGAAGGGCAGGTTGATGAACAAATCTGCATAATTTGGAAGAATAACAACCCCACAAACGGCCTTCCGAGTGGGTATCATTGTTATTCTCTAAGTCAGCCTCAGTTGCCGCTTTAAAGAGATCTATCTGCAGCATATATCTGTTATTTTAAGAGACACCAAAGGTCTGGGCTCTCAGACGTCACAGGCTGCAGCAGCACCAACTCTCCCTGGCACCGATGAATCATCACTCCCTGGATAGCTGAGCTTTTATTCCAATCATTTCTGCTCTGGGGTAGAAGAGTGTTGGAGAAAGTTCATATTAACACAGTTGAACTAGGACTGTGGAGAACTGAGTCAGTTTAAAGGAAATAATGGATTTGTTGTAATCAACATTGAATTTTCTACATGTCAGTCTTCCCACAAGTGTCTTTCATTGTGAAATGTTATCAAAGTATGTAGGGCATAGGGGCCTTTGAGCTCAAAGGTGCTTGTACCTAAGGATTGACTTGAATGGTGGTGCTTCATCATTTTTATTATGGTGCATTCAGGCCTAATGGGGCTTGAGTGACATTAGTAGCAAGCTGTGATTACAGGAGTAGAATCAGCATGAAGTTGGTAAAAGGAATATCATTTATCTCTACAATATCTGTTTTACTGTGCTCATCTGCCGAAATGTCTTTTAAATGCTTTGTTGCCTGCGAAGTGTCAGTCATCCTTTTCTCAAATGACACAGCTGACAAATTAACAAGTGAGCTAGATCAAAAAAGACACTTGCACACGTTTAACAGTGTGACATCAACTGTTCCCCCCAAAGGCTCATTGTTTTCATGCCGGCATGTGTCTTTTATTTGTATGCGATACCCAATAAAAACGCAGCTTGAGTATAAAGTCATGACTTAACCAGCTAAAACACCCACAGAAGACAGCTATCATAAACCAGTTTCTCTTTTGACAGTATAAAGTCATATTGTGGCTAGAAAAAGTATTTCGCTTAAAATGAGAAGGGATATGTTATAAAGATTTTGTGAATTAATCAAATGTATACTTATAACAATATGCTGTATAAACATAAAACACATTTTTCAGAGTTTGAGACAGGTTTTGGATTTGTGTGTTCTTGCCTTATTTAACTTTGTCTTAGCAGAAACAGAACAGAATAACTATAATGTGTGTTTTTAAGAAAGAAAATACAATCCCATGAGTCAAAAAAACACATTTATTGTAGTTAAGACAGGGACATTAGGACAAGATTCATCTTTCATATCTGTGTATAAAAAAATACTGAAAAAAAGTTCACTACAAAACAATGTTGAGTTGAAATGGATGAGCAGTGAAGCTCCCACACTGCACAAAAAAACTTCAATGACTCAACAATGGATGCTGAGGAACACAGAAGTCCTGCTTTTGATTTAAAAAATGTTTTAAAGGCTTACACTCGTCACATCAGTAATAAATAGTGTAGGCTTGTTAAAACACATTGTTACAAGTTCAGGCGGTTTCAAACAACATCCGAGATCCGTCAGTCTTCAGGTTTGTTCCCATGCGACCAGAAAAGATCAGGTAAACCGCTCATTGACCCTGTTATGGAAAAGAGGAATAAATGAAATAATGTATTTGTCAACATATTGGTGACGTGTGGGTCTGTCTGTGCTTGTCCAAAGGTTTACCTGTTTCTTCATAATCTCATCTCTTGTCTTGAAGACCGGTGCGTCCTCTACCTCGATACCTTCAGCCATTTCACTTACTTTCTCCAAGAGCTCCGTGCTATACCTGTCATTATGGAAGAAAAATGTTATGTTAAATATAACAGTATTGTTAAACATTCATTGCATCAGTCTGGCTATAACCCACCAGTTGTGAAAATGATTGCAGGCATAAGAAGTCCTAAATAAAACTGGATTATTCATTAGATCTGATTTATAAACTCTTGAAGATCCATAGTGGCATCACAAATCCAAACCTCAACTGGTGTACTACCAATAGCCTATACTACAAACTTGTGTACTACCATGCTGTTTTTGATATAAAAATTAGGAGTTTTGACGAAGAGCCCATGTTTTGTCCTCCTCCGGACACAGGGGGTAGCAGTGAGCCAATTGTGAGATCAGACGAAGAACAATATTTTGAATCAAAAACACTCATCCACATAAAGGTGGGTACAAGATAGAGTACTTCTTCCCCCTCTGCTGCCATGTATGTAATGTTGCATCCTCAATATAATGGTTATTGAACCAAATTGCAAGTGGACTCCTTACTTGTGAACAGATTAAATGAGGTTATTTTTAAAATGCCATTCACAAAAACAAATGCATCAGTGGAGCACGTTGTGTTTACGCACCGACAGCCCATGAAGACGTTGTTGGCCCACACCATGGAGAGCGCGAGCAGCTGGTCCATGTGCGGCTCCTCGAAGTCGTTGATGTTACGCAGGATGAACTCCCTCCTCGGCTGCCAGTGTTTTTCGCTCTCCCAGTAACCCCGGTACGTTTCCACCTCATCTGCCACAGCTCTGTTCTGTTGGATAAACTCTTCTACGTCCAGGTTAGCCATCTTGCTTCTTCTCAGGAAGCTCAACAAATGCAGCTTCCGGTTTGGGAAGCGACTCTCGGAAGGTGTTGTTAAAGGTATCGTGTTGAGAAACAGCAACACGCAGCGGGGGATCCGATAACTACACTTTACTTGGCTGAAACCATAGACTGTATATATAAAGGCTGAAACCCTATAATGCTCAATGATTAAATTACATATTCAAAGGTTTTATTGTCATAGTAGCTACAGTGTATTTATGTCAATATAAATCTTTAAAGCTCCTTCAACAATTCCATATAAATGTATTTAAGACATAAACAATAAAATTATGAAAATAGTGCAAAAACAAACAGAATAGAAAAAAAAATATTGAGAATATTGCAAATGACCAATGTGCAAGTAATGAAGTAGTGTATTCAACTTGGTTAACACTAAAATATAATGCTGTGTGAGTCTTCCCTCTGCATACTGGACCTGTGTTCGAGAAAAACTAAATTTCCCACATAATTGCATACATGTACACAAATGAACCAACTTTTAACATGTTACCCTTGACTTTGACAGCTCTAAACCAGGTTCTGTAAGAAATAGCCCCTATAATATTATATTGTCAGACATTCTGAGTCCTAGAAAGGCAAGGAGACACCAAAGCACACATAAAACACACACTTTCACCTCCTCTTAAATTCCCCCAGAAAAACCCCGGTGGCATTCCTGTGTATGTCCTATATTGGGCCGCTTCCAAGTCATACAAGTCGCCGCTTTATTGAGTCAACCTACCCATTAAGTTTATGGGCTCGCTCTCCCCCTCTCACTCTGCCTGAAATTTACACTGATGCTGAAATAATACACTGCGCTCGAGGCAGCTCTGGCAGACAGCCGTTCTTGCTGAGTCACCTAATGTATGCTTACTCAGGAGAAAACTATAATTGGGAAAACACACAGACAACAGGTAGTCCTTTCAGCCACAGTCCTAGGGGAGGGCCAACAAGAAAAGATTAACAACTCTGAAAAAGTGTCTGATATCAAGGTTAATGTGAGGAGAATGGGACAGGCAGCTGAGAAAGTTATTATATATATCAAATACCATTTATAGTACATACTTTTATGGTTATAGAAGATACTGAGATGTGTATAAGGATATACACTACAGTTATTCACTCAAGTAAAGTATTTTAAACCTGACTGACCTGAAGAGTTCAATTGCTTTATACTGTAGTAATTCTACCATTTATTTTCTCTTTAATTTGAATTTGTGTTGAATATTATTGTGCTAAGTTTTGCACTTCTTCTTGTCATTTTTCACAGTCCCAAGAAAAACAAGAGTCTCATCAAATGCCACAAAATGATGCATTTTTACGTTCAAGTTACTTTTTTCTGTGGAGAGCAAAGAAAGAAAATGTGCCACAATTGTTTCTTAACCTTTATATAACCCAAGCTATAATCTTTCCATAACCCTTATCAAGTAATCTTTGTGACTAAACATTACCAAACGTTAAGCTGGATTGACATTTCTGCTAAGACTATGATGTTCTTATTACTGTAAAGTCACTATAAAAAAAGAAAACCCTTACATCAGACTTCCGTTTCAGTGCTATCTATTCTTATTTGTTATTTCCTGTTTGCACCAACACTCATGACAGACGATCATTTTGAAATGAGTTACTTTTTATCTCATGAGTTTATACATAATAAGCCAAACTATACTTCAACTTTAACTGTAAACATAAAAAGATACTTAAAGTTTTCAATGTGGAAGACATCTATAAATAACATCATATTGTTTTGAATGTGTTTTACTGTATCTTGTATTTTACTATTTCTATTATTATTCTTCATGTGAATGTTGACCAGTCTAGAATTTCAATGTCTAGAAACTTCTTGTTGAATAAAGGTAACAAAAACAAACAACTAACACAATTAAATCTTTGTAGCTTTATTTTGCTCTAGATGTACCAATTAGCCAGTTTTAAAAGGCTAGCCATTGCAAAATTCTCAGCAGTAAATGCACCTTTAGTTGAAATGGCACAGCTGAACTTGCCAGATCAATAACACCCAAAAATCCCTTTATTTACCTGAAATGTAAGTTGAGACCACATTGTCTTTGGGGGTTTAAGCAGTAAAACTAGCTCATCAGCCACCTAGGGAGAACAACAGAACAGTTTCAACAAACAACAAAACAAAGCAGAAAGAGAATCTCTAAAACTCCAGTCTATCAAAATAAGGTTACGCTTGACATTGCATTGACTTTAGCTTCCTGTAGAGGAGGAGTGCTTAAAATCTTAAATCTTGGGACCCAAAGAGATAAATGTAGCCTTGCACCCTGGGACCCAGTCTAATTAAATGTAGTGCACTTGACACGTAGAGATGCTGGAGCAGTAGGGCCTGACAGCTATTACAGGTCCTGGATCCGGACGCATTGTTTTACATTTTTTTATATATACCCATCTATAGGCCTAACTGAAGATGACATGGATATTAGGGCCATGATGCAAAGCATGCATCTCCTCAGTGCACACATTTCATTATAACACCTCCACACATTAATTTGGTAATCTCTGTACTGATCTTGTTAACTGTGGTTATGAAAATCAAGTGAAACCTATGTCATGGAAAAACTGTGTAATGTTGGCGAATGGTGTGTTTGCGTCCTGTTGCAGTTATGGTGGGTGGGGTGGTGGGAGAGTGATCTCGATAATATCAACAGGAACTCACACTGACTGAGTTCATGTGCCTTGAATAAAAAAACTAAACTAAAAAAACATGTTGGAACAAATTAACTTGACTGGAGTACTACAAAAAACAAAAGTACACACCTCTGAAGATAGTGTATGGATTTAAACACAAAGGGAATAGCAAATGATGTTTGTCTGCTTTTTGACACATGTCTGCTAATGCCACTGTCTTTAATGGAGGAGACAAAACAAATCAGGTTTAAATTCAGCATTTCACAGAAAATATGCCATTCACCAAATACAACTTGATGTTGTATTTGTCATTGTATTTGCCTATCAGTAAATGGCATTTGTTGGATATGGGGGAATATTACCACAAAAACACTAGGCTTTTTGACCCAGATATGAGGGGATCTGCTTCCAACGTGTGCATCTCATTAGAGAGTAAACTGCATTACCTCACATTAGAAAGGACCATGGGGAGGGTCACAGGCTGTTTCCTCAGGGGATGCATGCCTACCTGCGTTGTATGGAAGAGGAGGAGGGGAGGGCAAACTGTGGGATGCTGCTGTTGCATTTGAATGTGTGCCATGAAATCCCTCCTTCGTGTCCTTCACTGCCTCATTTCATTTCGTGCAAAACAGCATCACAACCTCTTTGCCTCTCCCTCTCTCCACTTTCTGAGAGACACCTGATACAGCTGATATGAGTATTTGTGCACCTGACATCCTTGCCTGTGTGCAAATTGTGAAGTGTGTGCATGTGTGTGTGTGTTTGATACAAGGAGAATTATCCCATTTGTTCTCCTGAATGACCTTAATTGAAGTCTACCTCCTGGCTCTGCATCGATGTGTATTAGCAAGACATTTGCAAAAAAGCTGAGTGGAGATAATTAGCAGTTGATCCGCTGTCTATCACGTAAGAGATGCACAACTAAAAGCTGCACATACTTTATATCTAGGAGTGGGGGGTTTGTGTGAAAATTGCACTCCTTAAACGTCAGATTATAGAGACATTATAAGTGAATGTACTACTGCTTGGCAGAGGACAGTGATTTAGAGACAGTGGATGGTAGTAGATTACACATTGATAAAACACCCTCCACCCGTTTTAAATATGGATTTTACAGAAAATGTGAAGGAAGGTAATTTACTTGCCAATCTGAGTCATTCCCTTTGGATCACTGAGAGCAAATCAATCACCTCCGGAGAGATATATTATCACTTACAGTAAAGACCAACTACAGGCCTTTACTTTGAACCGAAGCTCAAGCTGCTAATTAATTTTGATGTGAAGTTATTGGACAAAGTAAGAATGAATAAATAGGTTGTGGATGAGTTTTAATTCTAACATAATTCTTCCTACATAAAGTAGTCCAGTCAGTCAGCCATAGAAAACAGATTGTGTTTAAGTTATTTGTATGTGATTTTGAAGTGATAATATATTTAAGAAACCTGAAGAAACTTTGTACAATTTTAATTTAAAACATTATACATAATGTCAAAGCTGTCATACTACACATTGGATGAGTGAGCCATCCATGACAAAATAAACAAAATATTTGTAGGAACTAGTTTTCTTTTAAGCTTGCCACATGATAATCAGCTTCACCAGAATTACCTTTTTTCATATGTCATTTCAATACTTTCCACCACAAAAAAAGCCTATATTACTGGCAGTAAAATTGGCAGGTGAAGTTTCAATGCCCATCCTCTCCTCTTCGAGGCGCAGTCATCTTGCATTTCTCAGAGTAGGAAGTGCAGCTTGCGGTAACAGTGAATTGAAAGTACGCCATAAATATGGCGCCAAAAGAGTTTTCAAGCTGATGATAAGAGCTGATTTTTCTCTGTGTTGTGTTTTTTCTTCTTCTCTGGAGGTGGGAGGGAGAGATTGAACCCAAAGACCTGCCAGTGAATTTGTGCAGAGCGGTGTGTGCACGTCAGTACACCGGGCAGAGGAAGCGAGGCAAGGCAGCAAGTGAAGACGAGGAGAACTCAATGTTTTATTTTTGAAGGAGGGACGTTGCGAAACTGGCTTGCAATCTTTTCTGACTCATCGTTTGGAAATAAAGCATCCTTTTTCTTTTTTTTCACGCCACCTCCTCTTGCTTCCCCGTCACCTCCTTCCTTTACCGCTTGGCACCGGAGAGGAAAACACCGTCGGATTTTGACACCACGTTTGGGCAGCTTTTTTGCAAAATGCGACATGCTTTCCTGTGAGAGGTATGTTGTGCGCACCTCGCAGCCTGCTAACCCGTGAGCAGCAGCAGCAGGACCACCACTGTGTTTGTTGTTGTTGACTTGCAACTCAGTCTGGCTGCCACTTTGGGATTTTATTTCGGATTTTTGCTCTCGGTGGCCGGTCTTTGCAGGGCTGACGTGCTGTCAACACGCACAGTGAGGGGGAGGGAAGGGAGGGGAAGGGACAGTCCTGTCACCCAACGTGGATCCAGAGTCGGGGCTGTTTAGCAGCACTGCTAGCAGCCTGCCAGGGCACCGGGTGGGCAAAACTGAACTCCTGCTAAACCCCTCCACTGTAAAACTACATGTGCCTGGCTCCCAATGATCTCCTAATCTCTGGGAGTGTGGACGTCTCTGCATCCGAAGCTGACTGCTATCAAGGTAAAGAAATTAGCACTATTATGCAAAAATGATAATGTGTAAAAGTGGGAGGGTTGCAGGACTGCTGAAGTCCACTTTGCTGCTGCTGCAAGTGCTATACCAGTGCTAGGCTAGCGGCAGGGCAGCGGCTCTGTCTGCACTTTTACAGCGGGCTTGTCAGTCTCATTCAGCGGCTGCTGTGTTGTTAGCCTGAGCGGTGCATGTGGGTCAAGCATAGGGGAAGCAGGGGGTATGTGTTGTATGTTGCAGTGAAGAAGACATGGACATAACGTTAACCCAATTGGAAGCCAGAGCCCTGTGCATGCTTCAGAAAGATGAAATAAACCCGGTAAACTTGTCATGTTGTAGCTCTGCGAACGTAACGTGAACGCGCCCCGGTGGGAATCAAGTGTGCGAGCGGGTAGTTGGAGAGTGTCCAAGTGTGGTTATTTTTGCGCGTAATTGCGACAAATAGGGCCATTTGCAGCAGGAATGCGAGCTGTAACTTGCAGGCGAATGTGAAAGCAGGAACACAGACATTTTTGACACATTTATAGGAGGATAGGATATGAGATGAAGTTGTGTGACGGTTAGGACTGGGTGCAGGGTGGAGGAGGCACCAAACGTTTACAGTCCCTGGAGGATTGGCAGGTTCCTGCACAGTAGAAGGGAGGAGAGGAAACCAGGGGGAGCAGCTCTCCTTTTAGGAAGGCTGAGCACGCAACCACACATATACACACATCAAGGAATTAGAGCAACTCCTCTCTCCCTCCTTCACCCTCTCGTCCTCCTCCTCCTCCTCCTCCTCCTCCTGCTTCGTGCTGTGCAGATCTAGCTGGCTTTAGGAGAGGGGGGAGTGGCTGTTGTTTACCTCCTCAAAGTCAGAGCTCTGTCTGTGTGCCTGGGTTAACTGAGTGTTGCATCCTTATCTTAGATCAGAATACCTTTAATCGTCCCACAGAGGGGAAATATACATTGTTAAAGCAAAAGTAAAGAGCCACAAATAGCTAAATAAAACTACAAATTAAGAGGCATGCATACAAATAGTAAAGAGATACAAATAAATTACACACATTCCCATTTACAAAAATACACATCCAGATGGACCACAAAAAAAACAGTATTTAAAAAAAAAACGAGTGTAGCATGTATCAAGTAGTTTCATAGCAGCCAGGTAACAGTATTACAAGTGGAAGTATATATTGCACATTTATTTACAGATTTATTACAGTAGTTGAATTAACTAACTAAGAGGCTGTGGCGCATTGGAGTAGTGCGTAGGTGTTCGGATCAGGGGAGCACAGGTTCAAACCCCACTGCAGTCAGCATGTCTTTGTGTCCCTGGGCAAGACACTTCACCCCAAATTGCTCCTGTGGGGATTTTCCACAGTATTGAGTATGTAAGTCGCTTTGGATAAAAGCGTCTAACAAGTAACATGTAATGTAATATATCAGCCAGTAATAATAATAATAATTATAAAGTGGTTTATATATATGTATTGCACATAAGTCATATTGCACAACAAAGTCAGGATTAATGGGTTTAAGTGGGGAATTTGCTTCTAGTTGGATTTTCTGAAGCTAGTTGTGGCCATTTATTCATAATTCCCTGGAGAACCTCTAAAGAATAGTGTTTGTCTTTTAGAGTTCATCATTAACGAATATGATCGATTTGTCCAGATAAAAAAAAACAACATTTTTATTTTAAAGGATCACACAAGTGAAGCTGAACTGGCTGTAGCCTTGAATCAATTACGGTGAAATTGTCTGGGGACTTGTTAAATGTTCCCAGTTGTGACAGCTCACCCCCACCCTTCTCTTCCCATCATCCCTCACACACACACACACACACACACACACACACACACACACACACACACACACACACACACACACACACACACACACACACACACACACACACACACACACACACACACACACACACACACACACACACACACACACACACCACACACACACACACACACACACACACACACACACACACACACACACACACCACACACACCACACACACACACACAAATGCAGAGACACCTCACCATGACCAGTACACACAAGCTTGAATTTTGAGCACACAGACCAGTAGCTCTGTGTGCCTCTCGCTCACTCTAAACATATATTTAAGTACAGATGCACGTACCATGCTCTCCAAACACTCTCATCACACTCACATACACATACACACACGTACACAAACACACAAGCCTTCTCCTGCTGGGTATGAAACCGGAGATGAGTCATGGTGTGTGGGGGCATAACAACTCTCTTTCTATCCCTCTACCCCCCTCTCTGTCTTTCATATCTTTCCTCATGCAGTGCTATCTTGTTTTCACTCATTCTCTCTCCCTCTCTTTCTCCCCCTCCCTCCCCTGAGGCTCGGCTCTCTCGCCTAGAGACAGAGGTTGTTTACAAGGCAAGTGAAGGGGGATAAGAGCTGTTTTCATTTTGCTTCCGTTTCTTTGACCACTGTCCTCCTGCCGTCCTATCCTCCATGTTTCAATCCCCAATTCCTCATCCATCCCTTGCCTTTTTATCCTTCTTTCATACCTCATCTTCCATCCATCAACTGCTCTTTTACTCCCCATCCTTTCATCCATCCATCCATCACTCACTCACTCCATCTTTCCCCTCATCATCTCTTGATCAACCTTTTAACTCTGATTCCTCTCATCATATGACTTTGAGCCTGGAGGAATGTGTGTGCGAATGCGACCATATGTATCAACTCTCCCCGTTCACTATGTCATGTGAAACTTGAGCATGCAGACCTTTTTAAGCCTCACATGTGTACATATGCACACGTGTGTGTGTATGGGCGGGGGATGTAGCGTAGCGTGTGTGTATTTGTGTCTGCTGCGTTAAGCGGTGAGCTCTGATTGGCTGAGAAAGGGGGTAAGGACCCCCACGTGGTGCGTTGTATCGCATTAGTTGTAACGTAGTGAAGACTAGGAGGAGGGGGGTGTGTCGTTCATGAATGGAGCGCTTACGTCACGTAAACCATACCCTATATCTTGCTAAAGAAGGCTTCAGGCAGATATGTGTGTAATGCAGAAATATGTGTCAGATAAGAAGGATGGGGACCTACTGAGCTGAAGGGGGTGGGTGTGGGTGTGTGTGTGTGTTGTGTGGTGTGGTGTGTGGTGTGTGTGTGTGTGTGTGTGTGTGTGTGTGTGTGTGGTGTGTGGTGTGTGTGTGTGTGTGGGTGTGGTGTGTGTGTGTGTGTGTGTGTGTGTGTGTGTTGTGTGTGTGGTGTGTGTGTGTGTGTGTGTGTGTGTGTGTGTGTGTGTGTGTGTGTGTGTGTGTGTGTGTGTGTGTGTGTGTGTGTGTGTTGTTGTGTGTGTGTGTGTGTGGTGTGTGTGTGTGTGTGTGTGTGTTGTGTGTGTTGTGTGTGTGTGTGTGTGTGTGTGTGTGTGTGTGTGTGTGTGTGTGTGTGTGTGTGTGCGCCTGCAGGCGGTTTAGCTAGCTGTCATGTTACCAGCTCTCTGCTGCGCTCTGCTTCCTAACTGACTAACCAGCATGTTGACCACAAGGGTATTACTAAGATGAGTGGGATTTGTGTGTGTGTGTATGCCAATATTTGTTTCCCATATCAGAACTTATGAATATTATATAACTTCTGATTCAATACATTTTTAGTCTTATGTAAAAAAAATTAAGACTAATTATTTTTTGAAGAATGCAAATAGACAGAATAATGAATATGAAAACACTTTGAATTTTTTCGTATTAAACTTGCTTCTTTGTAAGTGAAACTTAGAGGACACAAACACTCAAACAAATACAAACAATACAATTCATATTAATGTGAGTTATGAGTTGCTTGATCACAATAATGGTTTAACTGTAGTAATAATAACTAACCTGGTCTAATGTGTGTCACTAAGGTTATGTTTTGTCGTGAGTTTCCGGGATTGTTCTGGTTACCTATAGGAGGTTTTGTCACGCTCTTCAAGTTGTGTAACATGAAACCAACCCCATGCTGTATTAAACCCTACAGGCATGTTTTTAGTCATTAACATGTGTGTGTTTTGTCAGTGTTTGCTCTCAGTAGATGACCCTGCTGTGGCGTAGAACCTCATTAGTGTGTGTGTTGTGTGTGTGTGTGTGTGTGTGTGTGTGTGTGTGTGTGTGTGTGTGTGTGTGTGTGTGTGTGTGTGTGTGTGTGTGTGTGTGTGTGTGTGTGTGTGTGTGTGTGTATGTGTGTGTGTGTGTGTGTTGTGTGTGTGTGTGTAGTGTGTGTGTGTGTGTGTGTGTGTGTGTGTGTTGTGGTGTGTGTGTGTGTGTGTGTGTGTGTGTGTGTGTGTGTGTGTGTGATGTGTGTGTGTGTGTGTGTGTGTGTGTGTGTGTGTGTGTGTGTGTGTGTGTGTGATGTGTGGTGTGTGTGGGTGTGTGTGTGTGTGTGTGTGTGTGTGTGTGTGTGTGTGTGTGTGTGTGTGTGTGGTGTGTGTGTGTGTGTGTGTGTGTGTGTGTGTGTGTGTGTGTGTGTGTGTGTGTGTGTGCCATACGATTCATAAATCCTTTTTCCTGCAAAATCTTTCCCTCACTGATGGAATAAGAGCAGTGGGGCGTTCTGCTGAAGCAGATGGTTTTTCAGATAAAACTAATGATCCATTTTTGTGATGGTTTTGTAGTCTAGTATTTTGTTACCACAAAGTTGACAGTGACGTCATTAGAGCATATCTCACAAATGTTATGCTTTATTTCCTTTATGCGTATTCCATGCGTTTTCTTGTGTGTTTCACAAATCCTGTATTTTAGATTTTCAGATGTTATTATGTAATGGAGCGTTTCTGTGTATTTAATTGTAATATAGTTGGCTTTACTGTTGTACAAAACAAGCAATTTAAAGTAGTGAGTTTTGGGAAAACTGGGTCTGACTATTTAATGTTTTTTTCACATTTATAAATGAGGAACAGCATGATATTTAAGAAGACTCAACTGGAACTAGCATTTTTCATTGGATATCTTCAAATACTTCAGTCTTTAGTCTGCTA